ACCTCGTCTTAGGTAGCTTGCTCCTTCGTATGGCCTTGAGTCTTCGATCCTTTCCATAATTGAGCCTTTGCCGAAGACATTGATGTAGTCAAAGTAGGCGAACAGTCGATATAGTCGAGGTAATTGTAGATGATCACAACCTTAGCAGCCTAGGAAGGAGAACATGACCCACGTTCCCGTTCCCATGTTCCACGTTCCGGTTCTCACATTATAAAATGATACCCCAATTTTCTGGTCCCGTTCCGGGAACGGAAACGAGTATGGGAACATGGCTGCTAAGATCGCAACACGTCATCAAGCTTTCACTTACGGGGGCAGAATACTTGTCTAATGTGCTTCTGGCCAGCCACTTGGCTGGCGTTCGTGAGAAGTTCTTTTGGGTGCTTGAGTTAAAACGTTGCGTGGTTGATGTCACAAATATCATAGACCCCAGCCTCGGCGCCGCCACCCCCTAGCCCCTGTAGCCCTGCTGCACACTGCAGCACATCATCTACTTCTACTCTTATCAAAGTAGGTTACTTTGGCCGCCAGGAACATCATCCACGTTGGTCCGAATGACCCCAGCCGTCCGATCCTCCATCCCGTGGCCCTTATTGCTTGAAGTGGATTCTATTCGGAAACAACTTCTACCGCTTCTCGTGACTTTCTCTGGCTTCCTCTTTTCTTTCCTTTAGCTTCTCAGGCTTCTCGTCCGAATCCACAAGACCAAATATATACTGAGCTTCGGCTTCTACTTCTACACAATTCCCCGTCTCGATTCTTCTCCTTCCCAACCTCGACGCTTCTGCTCCCGCAGACGTTGCCTCCTCCACATCAGCGCCCACCTTCCCTTCCTCTCTCTCCCTCTCCTCTCCTCTCCTCTCTCCTCTCGCCCGACGGCAGTGTGTGTGGCTGGGCCTGGGCCGCGGCCGGATGGCGGTCATTGCTTGCCACAATCAAGTGGGTGACGATGCCCCGACTCTTTGTGAAGCGCCAGTGCAGGGCCCCCATGGTGGGCGCCCCGACGGCGGTGGACGTCCTCGACCATGGAGCGGCACGACCGAGCCATGCCGGTACCTGCCGGCGCTGCTTCCCCCGCGCTGCCCCTTCCCGCCGCTCCGTGTGTGCTCGAGCAAACCCTAGCTGCCTGTGCTCGGCGGCCATGCCCCTGCCCGGGGGTGCGTGTGAGTGCACCGCTGCGAGCAGGCCCACTGGCCGCCGCCGTCGCTGCACGCTATGGGCATGGGCCGCGGGAGAGGTGGCCACGGACCGACTGTTGCCTGGCCGTTGTACAGGTAAAGGTGCGCTCTCTCTCTTGCTTCCCTTCCCTTCCCTTGCCGGCTTCGGTGACGGATGGCCGGATCCATCGGCTGCATGGTTGGATTTGTTCGCTCTCCATTCAATCTATGCATTGAATCAGGTGCCAAAAAATCTCCTTTATCTCCTTTCCTACCTAATGTCTCTGATCCCTTGATTTCATTTCCTGTATATATGGATTTCTTTTGCTTACGCATAAGGTTTGTGCCGTTGTGTTGGTGCTGTAATCTTTTCATCAGTATATATAAGTGTGCCTATGGTGCTGCTTTATTTATTTTAGTCTCAACATATGCCATTGCTGATGATGTACCGATGCAGTTTGAGCATATGATGGTACCTATGAGGTGCTTGACCATATTTTCGTGCCTTTGCTATTTTGCATTTTTTGGTTGACCATATGTCAATGCCAATGATGCTGGAGATATATACCTTTAGTGTGCCTATGGTGCTGCTTTATTTATTTTAGTCTCAGCATATGTCGTTGCTCATGATGTACCGACTGCAATTTGATCATATGATGGTACATGTGAGGTGCTTCTGATAAACCTGACCATATTTTCGTGCCTTTGCTATTTTGCATTTTTTGGTTGACCATATGTCAATGCCGATGATGCTGGAGATAGATACCTTTTTCTGAAATCCTAGCCGCTTTGCAGAGGAAGTGATTTTTGCCAACATGAACGGGTTGTCCTCAAGCGAATCCCAGACGCTTTGCAGAGTTAAATAAAAGTATGCAATCATGATTACAACTCTTTTATGATCTTTGCAGAGTTGCTAGTGAGGCATTCCCATATGCCAAACCTGACAATATTTACGTGCCATAGCTATTTTACCTTTTTCCGCCACATGTCAATGACAATGTTGTTGGAAACAAATATCTTCTTCTCAACTATACCATATGAGAAGATGCGGTCATGATTATCACTGTTTTATGATCTTTTTTTTATCTCAAGTGATAATATATTGCTTCCTGCATTTTGGCTGCAGTTGGCGTGCGCTCAGGGTGGCCACGTTACCGTGAAAAGTTTTGGCCGCTTGTTTCTAGTTTCATGGTTGTGTTTCACCCGGCGTTTTCTACTCTGCCATCTAAATATATCCTGTGCTCCTATGTCCTCTATCCACACCGCTGCTTCTCTCCCCTCCAACTCTATTCTCCGCTTCTTCTCTCTCATCTCTCAAGACACGGTGCTGCCGTGCCACGGGGGTAGGGGGGTGGCCGCCGCTGTTTTATGATGTTTCTATTCCACTTTTTTTAGCTGAGGCATTTGGCCTATGGAGTGATACGGACCATTACATATGCATGGTCCTGTTTTGCATTCTTAATGAACTGAAGCACTTTGGCATATGCAGTGATGACCTACTTCTCCCTGACAACAATCTAATTTTGTTTCCTACGCTTCACTGCTATTTGTAAAAATTGCTATGATTCAATATTAAGGTATTCTGATTCTTGTTTTTTCTTTAGTTGTTCTGATTTTTGCACTTTCCTTAATCATTCTTCTCTTCTTTCCAGCTAGGTGCATAGCTTATATGCCTGTTACAAATTTGATTTTTGGTTTCATTGCAGACTGTAATTGAATCCTAAGGACAAGGACTGAGTATGCTATTATTTTTGAACTGTGAGGTTAAACTGCTGCAACCAGATAACTTCTTAGGTAAATATGGGATTTCCTCTTAGTAACTATTGGAAGATAGATAATTTGTTCAGATTGGTTTTTAGGATTATCATCTTATTTTGCTTATATATTAGTTTAGTGGATCATTTTCTGCCATGTCGATGCATCGTGTTTGTTTAACTTGATAAATACAGTCCGCTATTTGTAGCATCATTGCCCCTGTATTTTAGCGCATCTATAAATTCTATGTTTATTGTATCCCTTTCCATGCACATTTGATAACTTTATGTGTTCGAATGGACAGTGGTTTTTTAACGATTATTGTTTTTTAAACGAATTTGTGCTACACCGTTGGCTGTATGAAGCGTGACCTTTTTTCCTGCCTCCTGCACTATGGTTCAGTGACCCTCAGCTTTATTGAAAAAGTGTTGGTGCTGGCATGCTGGAATTTTCTATTATATTTAGCTTTTCTACTATGATCACATCTTTTTCCTTTAATTGAGCTTCAGTCTATAGATTTCTTAGCTGTTGCTCCATTCAGTAGGTAACAAAATAATTTTTCACACACAATTTTTGGCTACCAAAATATTCATCTGTTCTGTACAGAGGCGTTGTGATATAGTGTTGCTTCCAGGATAGTGGAAACGGAGTTGTGAGTAGCAGGGTATCCGTGGAGGTTATAACTTGGCACCCCGAGAGAGTACCACCAACCACCATATCGTCCATCAGATTTTTAGGGATTTTTAGATTCCTGCTATGATGCTTGCTCCTCCCATGCCTTTTGGGATCAGGTACATACTACTATATCCATGTGATCAATTTTTATTTCATTCATATGCATAATCCTAGCTTATCTATGCCATGCTTTGGTGAACACAGACAGAATGACAAACATCTGAGCTAGACATAATTTAGGTATGAAAAATAATACACACCATGTTGGTTGCCTGACTCATCATTATTGTGACCTGTCAAATGTATTAACCGGCCACATTTCCATGATAAAGATCTAAACGGTGCACCCTTTTTATTAGCTGCTTATTACATGATCAAAGAATGTAATTGTTTCGCAACCTATATTTGGTCACCTTGCTTGCCCACATATGCGCGCGATGGCGCGCTCGGAATTGATACTTTGAGATGTTTAGAATGGTGGGAAGAAGGCACAGGAGAGCAAAGATTCTTTCCCTTGGGTTGGAGTGGAGTTTTTATTTTCTATGTTTTATGCTGCTATGATTTGTTTTTCTTTGGAATAGAACTCAAATTTGCTTAAATGTATGAGCATGGTTACTCTTCAATATTGCAAAATTTTATAATAGGCTCCATTCCAGTGCGAAATTCAGATATGTGTATGATCTGGAAATGTCGTGTCTATAATTACCACATATAGAAAATGCCATGATTTCAAAAGTATGCAGAGTAGATATGTCCTGCACCATATAAAAAAAGATCCCATCTTTCCGTTTTTGTGCATGACATATCTACATTAAACTTCTAATATTGTTTTCATACAAAGATTAAATATATTTTTTATTTATGTCTTAACCAGATAATTTACTGACGCACGCGAGGACGCGCGTGATGGACTGCATCGAGCGGGGAAGGGAACGGGGCCTGCCCTGCCGCCGTGAGACGGAACAAAAACCCGGGCCGGCTATCCACCACCAACTCACGCACCAGAAGGACCAGAACCGTCCGGAGCTCCCCCGAGCGCGGCGACGCAAGACGGCAACAGCGACCGACCCCGCCCGTCCGTGCGTGCCAATGCCAAAGAAAAAAATATCCAAGCAAGCCTGCCAAGCCAATTACCGAAATTATCCTATCCATCCCCACGAGGGGACCGGGGACGCCGAGGGAAATCCAAGCCACCGAGCTCCCATTGGCCGGGCTGGTGCCATGTCGGCGCCCCGTGGCGAACCGCACCCCCACCCTATCGCGTTATCGACACCACCTCCGGCACCGATAAACTCCCGCCGCGCCTCGGTTTCCCTTCCCCCCCGAGAAGAGGAAGACGGAAAACCCAGCCAAATCCTCAGTCCTCAGGCTGCTCACAGCTCGTGATATCCCCTCTTGCCTTCGCTGCTCGACATGGCGCTCCAGGCGGCGACGTCCTTCCTCCCCTCGGCGCTCTCCGCGCGCAAGGAGGTGAGCGGCAGCTCTGCGTTTTCCAGCGAGCATTCGTGCCTTTGTGGCTGCTTTCTTTTTTTCGATTCGCGCTCAGCTTCGGTGTCTGAGCTCCCAAGTTGCGGTTCTGGTAAGCGATTGGTGAGTGTTTCGGTAGTAAATTGCGGTCGCAATGTTGGTGCTGTGTGCAGGGGTCGGTGAAGGACTCGGCGTTCTTGGGTGTTCGTGTCGCGGATGGCCTCAATCTGGAGACCAGTGCTCTGGGCCTACGCACCAAGGTATGGATTCGGGACTAAGGCCACTGCTTGTTTACCTTTCATCATCTTCTGTTGCTGCGTGTGCGTGTCCCAATTGCCACCTACTCCAATTGTAATCTATGCCCATTCCCATTGTTAGGCCTTAGGGAGCTTGCAGTTGCAGGTGCCAATTTCCCCGGTCGATTTAAGGTGTAGACTGTGGCAGTAGATTTTCAGTGATGGATAGTGAGGGGGTAGTCTTTGTCTACTGAAGCCTTGGATAGTTGGACATCATTTGGCTGGCTAGAATTTGTCTGTCTTGAGTGTCTCCAAGTTCAATGTCTTACTGACTAGTATCTGTTTTCTGAGTCCAAGGCTTTAAAGCAATGGAAAGTCTGACTGAATAGTTAAGATGACATTTTCTTTCCATCATCATATGTATAACTCGTAATTGCTACTCCTAATACTAAGCAATGGAGTACTTTTAGATGAATATGTTACTGCAGCAGCTCTGTTGTCAATTGGGCATTGTAACACCGTTATCTTGACACTTCAGCTAAAAGTTGAATTTCTTTTTGACGGGAAAGCTAAAAGTTGAAATTACCGTAGGTTGTGTCATGACTGACTACCAGTGTTATAGGCAATCAGGCATTCTAGGATCGTCACTTTTGCCACTTCGCCTCAAAACCGGAACTCAGAAGTGTCGTTTAATTATCAGTGGGTTTTGTAAACGATGTCAGCCTGGCCAGATGTTGCTTCGGAACTACAGATCTTGGTAGCCACTAGCCAGTAGCCATTGTACATTGTTGTACTTGTTACTGGTTTTCTGTATGATGACTGTAACTGAAAATGCGCATCCAAAACCTGCAGAGGGTGAGCACGTCGGTGGCCATCCGCGCACAGACGGCAGCGGTGTCCTCCCCATCAGTGACCCCCGCGTCGCCGTCTGGGAAGAAGACCCTCCGCAAGGGCACGGCGATCATCACCGGTGCGTCGTCCGGTCTCGGCCTGGCCACGGCGAAGGCCCTGGCGGAGACAGGCAAGTGGCACGTTATCATGGGCTGCCGCGACTTCCTCAAGGCGTCACGCGCGGCCAAGGCGGCCGGCATGGACAAGGACAGCTTCACCATCGTGCACCTGGACCTCGCCTCTCTGGACAGCGTCCGCCAGTTCGTCAAGAACGTGCGCCAGCTGGAGATGCCCATCGACGTGGTGGTCTGCAACGCCGCCGTGTACCAGCCCACCGCCAAGGAGCCGTCCTACACCGCAGACTGCTTCGAGATGAGCGTCGGTGTCAACCACCTCGGCCACTTCCTCCTCGCCCGCGAGCTCCTCAGCGACCTCCAGTCCTCCGACTACCCCTCCAAGCGCCTCATCATCGTCGGCTCCATCACCGGTACGTACGTGATGATAATGGCGCTGCCATAATCTACCTTTTCGATTTGGATGCATGCCTGTCCCTGAACTGAGATGTGAATGATCGAGCAGGGAACACGAACACGCTGGCGGGGAACGTGCCGCCGAAGGCGAACCTGGGTGACCTGCGCGGCCTCGCCGGCGGCCTCAACGGCATTGGCAGCTCGGTGATGATCGACGGCGGGGAGTTCGACGGCGCCAAGGCATACAAGGACAGCAAGGTGTGCAACATGCTGACGATGCAGGAGTTCCACCGCCGGTACCACGAGGAGACGGGCGTCACCTTCGCGTCGCTCTACCCGGGCTGCATCGCCACCACGGGCCTGTTCCGCGAGCACATCCCGCTGTTCCGGCTGCTCTTCCCGCCGTTCCAGAAGTACATCACCAAGGGGTACGTCTCCGAGGAGGAGGCCGGGAAGCGGCTGGCGCAGGTGGTGAGCGACCCCAGCCTGACCAAGTCCGGCGTGTACTGGAGCTGGAACAAGAACTCGGCGTCCTTCGAGAACCAGCTCTCTGAGGAGGCCAGCGACGCCGACAAGGCCAAGAAGCTCTGGGAGATCAGCGAGAAGCTTGTCGGCTTGGCGTGACGGCCTGATGCCCACCGTGGCCGGCGCCGGCAGACGGTGACAGTTTTTCCTAGGACATGCTCGTTAGTTGGTCTCAGTCGACGTGTGGTGCGCATGTGTCAGAGCGCCAAGCCAGAAAGTGAGTACACGTGTAAGTGTAAAATATGTGCTACTGCGCCGTGATGGTTTTGGCAGTGGGCTGTATGTAACTCTAGCCTTTTGCTTTGCTTTGGTAATTTAATTTACTGGAAATAAGAGGACAACAAATGCCTTTCGAGCTTCTTTATCATCAGCATTCAGCAAATTCAGTTTTTTCTTGAGGACATGCTGGGACATGATACTTCTTCTGTCCCTACAAGTTCTCCAATGATTTTTGTATCCAGCTAGTCAAATGTTCCCAGCACACACTGACACACCTTCAATCCATTTTCACTGTACATGAAAGTAAATTAATTCATTGCATGCACAGGAAAAATAACTGTATACAACAGCATTTTCCATTTTGAGTCTTTGAAAGAATTCCACTACCTCATTGTTCTAAATTATGAATAGTGCTGAATAACTTTTAACATGTATCAATATATATTCAATAAGTCCGTAAAAAAACTTTGTATACTCTGTACCTCGAGGGCCTGTTTGGAATTGAGGAATAGGAAATAGAGAAATTGAAAAAAAATACACAGGAATAAGATGAAGGGAATAGTGGAAAACTGTAGGATTTCAAAACACAGGAATGAATGCTTTGAGCTGTTTGGAATGGAGGAAAAGAAAGTCAGGAACATGAGCAAGCATAGCAAGAGAGGAAGACAAAGATTCTTTCTCTTGGGTTGGAGGGGATGTTTTATTTCCTTTGTTTTGCACTACAATTGATTCCTTTCCTTCGGAATGGAACTCAACATTGCTTCATTCCAAACATTATGAAGTGATTCCTTTTCTTTGGAATTTATTCATCCAAAATTGTTTTGGAAATCCTTTGATCCAAACAGGCCTGGAGTACCAGGGAAGCAAAACCTCAAACTAGCAAAAGGGGTTGGGCAAGGCTAGCGCTCGGACGTCCGGACGGATGCTAGCGTCCGGACGCTCAGACCACACCCCAACTTCATGTGGGTTTCACGCCGCTCTATGTCTCGTGCCCACTCTGTGTCCGCGCCGCTCCGTGTCCCGACACCCGCACGGTTTCCCGCGCCTGCTGCTCGCGCCCCATCCACACCCACGCGCATGCTGAAAGCCTTAGTTTGATTTTGGATAATTGATGAAACCAATGGACTAATCCTTGAGCTAATTGTGTAGACAATAGAGGATGGTCCAAAGACAAGTGATGGAGCTAGATGATGGTCATGGTGATGGTGGTGACCAAACTTGGAGATCAACTGCTCTAACTTGGAAAAGAAGAAAGAGAAAAATAAAAACAAGGTTGATCAAGGCAAATGTATCAAATAGGCTTTTGTTTTGGCACTCAAGACACCATAGAGGGTGTGAGTGTGTTTAGAATCGATAGTCGTACTATAAAGAGGGAAAATCTTTGGCTAAGATGTTATCGAGTGCCACTAGGTGACATGATTCTTGCATATGCATTAGAGACCTAGTGTGCTAACATTTAACCCTTGAAAAATACTTGGAAAAATGCTAACACATGTACACACAAGTTACACACTTTATGGTTAGCAAATTAGATGCAAGGGTGAAGTGTTGGACGAGATAGAAAAAGAAAAGGAGGTGTAGGGTAGTGATCGGACGCAGGGGACCTGTGCGTCCGGTGCTAAACCCTAGCTATCATGTTGCTGCGATACGTTGACCAGACGCTGCACTGGATGAAGGCATGGTGTCCTGTCAGTGGTTCCAGAGGAGGCGCTGCTTGGCTTGGTGACCGAACGCAGGCGCAGGGTCATGGCCGGACGCGCAGGGCACGCGTCAAGTCACGTGTGACGTACATTGATGTAGGCAACGCGGTGACTCAATGAGTGAGGCAGTAAGGACCGGACGTCGGGGCACGTCAGGTCACCTCTGACCGGACGCGTCCGGTCCAAGAAAAACCTCTCTGGGTACGTTTGTACTCGATTGGACCCTGAGTTATGCCGCGTCAGGTCATTTCTTCAGGCGCGTATGGTCATTACTTAACCCTCGAGCACGTTGTCAAGCGACTATTGGAGATGAGCGGCTGCAGTTCAAAGGAGGGACACATGGATGGCATCGGTTGACCGAACTCGGCCGACCGGATGCTAGGGTGTGTCCGGTCAGGCGCGTCCGGTCGTGCCTGCATAGGGCCAATGACTCTTTGAGCCTTGGGGCTCTATTTAAAGGGGTTGGTCGGCTTGGGGCTTACTCTCTTGGCACTTTGACATTCTTGATATCCTTGTGAGCCTAAGCAAACACCTCCCACTTATCTCCATCATTGATTCATCATCATAGTGAGATTGGAAGTGATTTTTAGTGCATTTGCTTGAGTAATTGCATCAGTGGCACTTTGGGATCGTTGTGGCCACCTAGATGGCTTGGAGTAGTGGAGGAGCATTGGCACGAGTTGGTGATTGTTCATGGCCATCTCCCGGTGATTGTGAGGGGTCTTGTACTTTCCCTGATGGAGAGCCGAAAGGTAACTCTAGTGGATTACTCATGTCATTAAGTTACCTCACTTGTGCTAAGTTCTTGCAGTGCCTAGTGAAGGCTTAGTGTGGTACCAATTAGCCACCGAACCACCAAGTGTTGATCGACACAACGGGGACTAGGGTGCCTGCAAGCACGTGAACCTTGGAAGAAAAATCATGTGTCATCTTGTGATTGGATTTCTCTCGGTGATTGATTGGCATTCATATTGTGATTGGTTCATTCATTGTCACAGCGGTATAATCACCCTACTCACTCCCTTACATTCATTGCAAACTAGTTGAGTAGCAAGCTTTTTAGTGTAGCTAGTTTTCAGAGCTTGCTTGCTAGTTTAGTTTCACCTAGTAGAGCTCTTTAGTGCGGCTTGTTTGAGAGCTCTTAGTGAGTAGTGACTTAGCCTCTTGTGTGCCTAGAGATCATAGCAACTAGAATTGTTTGGATAGGTGGCTTGCAACCCTTGTAGAGCTAGAGCAAAATTGCATTTCACCATTTAGTGTACTAACCATCGCTCTAGTGAAATTTATAGAAATTTTTATAGGCTATTCACCCCCTCTAGCTATTTAGGACTTTTCAAGTGGTATTGGAGCCATGGTCACCATTTGATTGAAGGCTTAACAACCTCGGTGTCAAAAGATGGCTCAAATAGTGTTCAACCATGTTGGGGGCTATGGTAGAACCATCCAATTTAACCTAATCCCAAGTGTACTTGTTAGCCATTTGACACTAAGTACGCAAGAGATCAAGTTAAGCTCGGTAGTCTGTCGAGTACACCCAACGGGGGAACTTGAAAATCCACGTTTTCATAAGGATCATAAACAAGTGAATAAAGTTTACAACATTCTTAACCATTTCATACATCACAAGCTTACAAAAAATCAGAGTTTGACAGAATAATTTCATAAAAAGCAGTAGAAGAAAGATCTTTTTACAAAAGCAGCAGAAGTTAATAATTTTCAATGTTGAGACAGAGGTAGAGATGTAAGAGTAAAACTACTACGATTGTAGCGGAAGAATTTCCTCGTTGAGCCCACCAGGAGGTATCCACACACAACAGTTAGCTCTAGCATCCACCTGCTATCTGCACCAGGGGGGATAAAACCCTGAGTACACAATGTACTCCGCAAGACTTACATGACTAGGTGGGAGTAGTCTCCCAACTCTCAAGGATATGCAGGGGCTATTTGGCTAGCCGTTTCATTGTTTCTGCATAGAAGCATTACTAATAGTGCACCCTTTATTCAAAGTTTTAGCAGTCACATCAAGTTCATTACTTAACCATTCTAAGTAAGCACCTGATCTACTTTCAAGCATATGGTAAGCAATCATGATATATTTCATAATCCAGCAGTAGCCTCATCATCATCTCTATGTTCCAGTTGCATTAACTATGATAGCAGTGGTGCGACAAGTGGTATTCATATCCGAGGAGGGCGACGATTGCAATCGATGTACATCCAGCTGGGCAATCCCAAACACACGCCCGTACTTCTCGAAGGAGCAAGTACAAGGCTACCTTTACTCTCGTACGACCTAGGTCTGAAAGCGACCTGACCATCACGGGGAACCCACCTTATGAGGCCCGTCCCACAAACCAGCGACGATTTACTCCTCATAAGTTTTACCATGGACATCCCCTACCTCCTAACAACTCCTCGAATGGTTAGTGTAACACACCAATAAACTTTTTAGGGACCCTGAGTCATAGGGAAGTACTTAGCTTCACGGTCAACTGTAACTCAGGCCCCTGTTATGTGTTCGGTACCTTCAAACTTGCCACATCGCTACTAATGGTATGGTCCTTAACTGACACAGGCAAGAAATGTGCACCCAGGGCCGCGTCCTATTGCACCCACCAATTCTCCAACAAAAATCTATTTTTCCACTTCCCGCCCGGTCTCCAATTATTATCCATCTCTGAATCTGTGTGATAGTAGTAATATTATAACCATCACCTATTTCTCGTGAGTGACTGTCCATCACTCAACTTCTACCGTAGCCCTATAGCATGGCATACTACACGATTCCTATCATACTAGTAGGACTCATAGGATAGAATGTTTATGTAGGTGGGTTTCAAGCAACTCCTAAAACTTAATAATGCACAAGCAACATAATAATAAGTGCTTTAAAAATAGGGGTTATGCACCGGGGCTTGCTTGGGTAAACTTGTATCATACAAAGTTAGTATTCCTCCATCTTCGGGACATGATCCACCATTATCTTTAGGACTGGTCACCATTACTCCATCTCTCCGCTTGACGCCAACATTATCCTTCAGTTGATCCATCGATTCATCATCATTCCTAAATGATATGCATAAATGCAATGCAATGCTTAAGTCAAACAAGCATACACAGAGGCATTACAAACTTAAAAGACAAGCAACACGTCGAAGGGTGACTAGGGTAACTAAACGT